ATCTGAGGTATCCCTTCGGAATTTTATCAACCGGGCTCGAGAGAGTCTCAAAATTTGAAATTCCCCAAATCTGACGAATCGCACACTCGCACCGATGATGCACACACTTGACGCTTTCTCATAAAAATCTCTCGTGAAAACAAAGTACTTGACGCACATTGCGCAAAGTACGGGTAGCCACTGCTGAGCTTTCGCCTGCTGTGCAGTAAAAGTTCAAGTACTGAATTTCAGAGCAATGAGTCGGAACCGGATGTCCCTGCATCGTCTGGTCTGCCGATGACAACAAATAATTGAACTGTATTTTGCAATTTGGAGCTATAAATTCTGGCTCATCTGAAAAAACACTTATGTGCAGAGGGAATCTAATGGCACATTCGTTGTTTTTAAATCGGACCGGAATTTATAGTTCCTAATTGCAAAATGTAGTCCAATTGATACATTCGCCGCTCTGTAAGAATTACAGGAATAAGAATAAAAAGTAAATGCAAACAAAATTGTACAGCATTCCGAATGGACCCAACTAAAATCAAAACTTAAATCGACTTTTTTCCCCCAGTGGACGAACCTCATAGATTCATTCGATCACCAACTCTCAAAATCTCATTTTTATCTTCAGGAGAACTTTCGATATTTATTTCACCTGCGACTTACTGACGAATGCTGCCCTGCTAAGGAAGAACGCCGTATGAACATTCGAGAGTTGCCAATCACCCTTGATAGGACGTGCATTTTTAACAACATTTATGCATATTTTTCCTTGCAATTTTCAAATAATTTATATGAGATTGCGTACAAAAGAAAATTTTGGAAAATAATATTCACGATTTTCCAAGTAAATTCAGTTTTCATCGGAGGAAACTTGACAACGTCTGAAGAATCATACGGCGTTCTTCCTCAGCACTGTGGAATGGGGACTTGCGCCTTCGACGGGCTAGTTCATCCACCGAGCTTTTGCCGACGTCACAAGCGACCAGCTGTTCGCTTACCTGTTTAATAAACGCACCTGATTCTAATTGATGTCACTTTCGTCATAATTCATCCGGCACATCCTCCCCCGCCCCTCCCCGCTCGCGCACCTTGTGTGCCTGCGCGCCTGCGCGCTCATTCAGTCCAGCACAAAATCTCCCGCGATTTTTTTCCGCACTCCTTCCGTCCTTCCGATATTCTTTCATTCCTCACGTTCTCCGAGCACCATTGCCGAACCGCGCTTTGTCTCACTGTTTCGGAAGGAAAAGTCGACCGAGGTAACTTTATAGCGCACTGTGGAGCGAGCTAATAGAAGGGGGCCGGGCATGAAATTTTTGGCTAAAATTTCAAATTTCGATGTTTATTTCGTCACGAATTCAATGTCAAGGGCTGTTTCTGAGAGATAATCTCACGAAAAAACCAATGGAATCACTCTTGAACTTTTTTGTCCTTCAGAAATATAAGCTTTCAAAGTTTCCAAATTTTGTCCCAGTGCTCCCATTTCCCGGAACTAGTTCCGAATTTCGGATTTTTTGAGATTTTCCTGAATTCTTCCCGGAACTTTTGAAATTCCCGAAATCTTCCGGATCTTTTGCATTTTCCGGATCTTTCTCGGAACTTTCGAAAAAATCTGAAAAGAATCCCGGAACTTTCGGACATGGAATGAGAGCACTGTTTTGTCCGACTCCTTCTACTGATTCGGTCCAGGGTGTGACGTCACTCTTTTCCCAGTGAACCAAATAGATAAATATAGAGGGGTTTCCGTTCCTGGCACCTTGAATTAGGTCGATAAAAAGTAGTTGCAGACATTCTGTTCATCAATTTTCTTGAGAGCGGATCTGGTTTATGGAAAAAATTCATCCTTTAAAAATATGTTAAAAGTGTTTATGATAAATAACGGCAAAACAACGCATGTTATGGTCAATTTTTAATACCCTCTGAGCTTCCGATGAAAAAATTGACCAGAGTGTAAGAAATGCAACCATGTTAGCAACCCGTACCAATTTCGCACTGATCTCGATTCATTCAACACCGTTCTTAATGTTGATAACAGTCCCGCTATTTGTGTTTGTACGAGAGTTGGCTCATGGCTTGCATAAAAAATTCGTGCTTTGACAGCTTTGCGATTAACTTCGGTGCCTTTTCCTGGACGAAGTTTATGAATGAAAGCCAGCACCGTAGCATATGAGTGGACTGCTCATACTATGAGCTACGACTCTGAATACGTTTCGGCCCTATCAGCGGTCAAATGTGCCGCATAAGGAAAATCTCTTTGAATTAATAGGAAATCACCCCGTGGTGTATCTGTGAATTCAAGGCAACGCCCCGTCACTTTGAAGAAACCTCCAACTGATGCAACGACATTCTAAACAGTGGCGAGGCGTGAATGATCGATTATCGATATATCCCCATTTAAAGCTATGGTAAAGAATCGATTATTGAGGTGTTCGTTGCGAACACCCTGTCTATCGATCCTTTCTCAAAGATTTAGATGCCAGATGAAGCGATATATCGTAAAGCACGCCACGCCACTGATTCTAAACTGGAGAATTCCTCTTGAAATACGTGTGCGATTGGTGCTCAAAACCAATCATAGTTTTTGATGTGGTATTAGTCATACACAACACCAATTTGGTTGATTTACTCCATCGACTGGCTAAAAATCAGCAGACTTATCTTGCACAGAACTATTTTTCAGTCAATCACTGCAAAATACACGTGTAAAGCGACAGTATTCGATAAAATATCAACGGAACGCGCTAGGGAAAAAACCCTGATCGATAGAGAAAATTTCCAGGGTGCATTCTAGCGGATTCTCCGATACGGACGATGCACCACGGGTAATATTCGTCTCGTCACCAGGCCAGGCCGGCACCAGCAGCAAAATCCGGAGCCACACTCGGTCCACTTTTGGCGAGCGAGCCGTGCGGTTTCGTACAGATAGGGCACGCAAAAGAGTTCCTCACTTTTTAACAGCCTTGGGGTTGCCAGTCGGTTTCAAAGTTATGTGTTATCATCTCAGGATCCGCGGAAAATCCAGCCGGCAAATGGCAACTCCTGATTTGCTCCCGATCCGTTGGTTTCAGAACTTAACTCGTTCCAATGCCCCATACGTGACATCTATGATGTTCTCCTTCGGTTGGGCCGTGTATCTCCGAATATATCATCGTGATTCCAGTTCGAGTCGATTCGGACCAATTTCTTTGGCGCCACTGAGCCTTCGGTGCGTCGGAGGAAAAAACTTAGATAAAATTACTGCTGTTTCTTCAGGCGATGCGCGTGGCTAGGGAGCCGTCCCAGTTACACGCAGGGTATTTTTGCCGACTTCTGACCCCTCCCCCTCTTGTAAGGCACCCAGAAGGCCACCTCCCCCTAAACATTACGTAAAACTAACCTGTCCCCCATTTTCCATAAAATAACTGCAAGAACCTATTAAGTAGCTGAAAAGATAATTTTATTGGACATTTTTCGTTTAGTAGGAGGCTTACATAAGACTGGGCCTCACCTCTCTTCCCTCGAGAGATCTCGTAAGCAAGATTAGACAAGCCGCCCCCCCCCCCATAAAGCTTTTATAATACTGAACGACCCTTCGAAATGAGATATTTTAGGAACATAACACTCGTTTTCATGCAATGTACTCCAGTGAGGTAATGGTTACTTCCTGAAGTCAACCTACAGATTCGTCTCATGATGGTCGATGAGTGACTCACTTCTTCGACAATCTATATTTTTTTTACGTATCGTCCTTACAAAAAGACACAGTCAGTCAGATTGGCAACACCGCTTTCTGCAAATAAGAAACGGCGAGATGTTATACTTTGTTGATAGATCGAGATGTCGTTCGCAGATTTCTATGCTTGCGGATGGTGCATCATCTCTCACTCGAGATGATGCAACTGGTGTGGGAAAATAATAGTAAATCAATTTTAAAAGCACAAAGACTAGGAAGAGACCGCCCGCACTGACCGCTCAGTGTATAGTTGAGTCCACCGCTAAAGTAATTAAAATCGTTTCAAATCGAAAGGAAATTTGAAAACTTAGCGCAAATAGTGTCCAAAACCATTGGCAGGGTTACGCCGTGCATAAGGGTTAATGGAAACGGCTGATATTGCAAATTGGCTACGTAGCAGAGCCCGGGCGAGCTTCGCGGTCTGTCTATCGGTCGGTGACTACAATTTTGATAACCATAGCGGCGAGATTAGCACGGACGTTTTTTCTGCTCTTGAAGAGGATTGTTGTATTATGTACGCAATCATTGTTGCCAGAACATACCGTGTCGCACATGTTTCGCCGAGTCTGACTTCTCCACTCGAACGCGAGAAAGTGAAAATAAGCCGGCGCTTTCGGAATCTTTAAATAAATAAAATTATCTTATTTTATTTGATACGTGGATAGAAATAGGACAGGACAAAACCCGCATGAAAGTGCCTCATTTTCAGATTTCGCTGCAATATTTTCTCTAGAAAATACATTTTACGTAATAATTCTCTCTATTTCTCTTCTCTCTTTGAAAAGACGAAATGCAACTTAAGGATCATTTCTTTACGTGCGTTAGGTACCAAACGTGCATTACGGTTTTATTACGAGTCTCTTGCAACATTCTCTCACACGGTTTATAAATGGAGTCTGAAAATGCAGTCTCTTTGAATTGGACTACATTTTGCAATTAGGAACTATAACTTCCGCCCCGGTATAAAAACAACGTATGTGCCTTTAGTTTCCCTATGCACATACTTGTTTTTTCAAATGAGCCAGAATTCATAGCTCCATATGGCAAAATGCAGCCCAATTACAACATTGGTGTGATTATATTGCAATAAACGATATAAAGTGGTAGGGGGGGGGTGGTGGTGGTTACATACGTCAAAAGTTAAACATGTTATATTGGAGGTATGAGATAGTTATCCTTCATGGTGCAAATTCGTATGCGTGTCTCTGATGAAGCGAGCAATTTTCTTGGCGAACTGTGAGAATAAAACAAAGTTTCTCTCTGTTGAGTTTTCACATTTTAAAATAATGTTTCTTGTTTCCAGGTCAAAAAGACGTTCAATGTGGATTTCGAACCTCATCATGACGCATGGAAGTCGCATGTTTACTCGTGGCTTCCGACAAAACGTGACATCCCGAAGACGATTGGAGAGAAGCTTGAGATGGGATACTTGCTTACTCTCGAGGTATGTTTCATCTGAAAAGCTACATAATATCGAAGGAAAATTGCTTACTCTGCATGTCTTTCTTCTTCGGCTGTCAGAAATATAACCCCATAAATATCGATTAACCCATTTCAGTCGATTTCTCAAACCGTGCAGCTCCTATGATGCATATTATTAAATTTTTAATCATCTTTGGAGGCTAAAATTTTCAATAGTGTCGTTTCATTCGCGGAGAGTACAAATAATTATTTTAAAGGGTGAGACCTGGTGTTATCGAAATTTTTGAACCGTAATTTAAAACCGTGGTATGAACTTCTAGTCTAATCAAATCATCCTTAACGCGTCAAGTGCACCTTTAACGATGAACCGGATGCGTAAAACTCAGATGCATGATTGGTTGTTCCGAGTTTTTTCGTCGGATATTTGGACAAAAGTTAAGAATAACAAATAATAGGCTTGTAGAAGTTTGGCATTATGAGGCTTTGAGAGCCACGGCTTCTTATTCTCCGCAAGTATACGCTCTCTCTGAGAAGTTCCGCCAGCCACGCAACTTTCCTCATATCTTTTTAGCTTATTTCATGCGTAAGCCCATGCTCAGAACGACACGCAATTTGGAATATTTTTTACTTCTTTCCCGCTGTTCATCTTACTTTTTCATGTTTTTTCATTTCCGTATCCCCTGATTTCAATATTCTCCTTTTTATATTTGTGCATTTTTTATTTAATTTATACCTATACCCAGTATTTTCTAATGGTTCCCAGATGGGTTTCTCTCAACAATTTTACTGACGTGTCTTGTGTTTTTTTTGTGTGTTTTAGCTCGATTCTACCCTACAAAATACATACGTGTATTTGCAAAAAGTCGCCGTAGGTCTTGAGCAAGTTGTCTGGGATCAGCATGATTCAAATAGTATTTTCAAGAATGAATTCCAGACTGCCGAATATGAGCTCAGAGCGGTAAGTATTTCCAATATTTATTTTTATCTTTTATATTCCTGCTCCATCTTTCTTTTCCTCTCTCTCGAAGGTCCACTTTATGTCAATGGACGTAGGTATACGGAATAAAATGGGGGAGGGGGAAGGAGATTATTTCTCAACTTAAATCGGTCAGTATCTATAGTGAGCATTCACATTATCTTGATAGTTAAAACCACCAAGTAAAATGAGCATAAGTAGGGACATAAAACCCCGATAATTTTGTGCTTAAAAAATATCCTTTCCAATCGAATTTCATCGAAGGTGAACCAGGAAACTTTAGCACCTGGAATTTAATTTTAAACGCAATTCATACCGTACCTATCTGACAACAGATTGCATTTTCTCGCTTAGTTTTCAAGCGAGTTATGTTTGAGTACTTGTTGTTTGAAAAACACTGAGCATTAGTAATTTTCTGTCCACAGGTTTTATGCGAAATCCAAATTGCTATGTACGAGCAGAATATTCACCATATCCCTGATGTCCAGAGGGACATTATGACGGATGACTTCAGGAAAATGATGAACTCCTCTTATCGAGACCTGAGGGATTGGTTCATTTTCCGGGACTACATGAACGCTTTGGAGTATGTGACAGAGGTGTTCGAACACTTCAAGCAGAAGATCGAACTCAACGCAACTGCACCCAGTGCAAAGTAAACACGATTGGAATAAAAATCTCACAACTCTAATGGTGCAAAATTTTGGGGCCCCGAACTGCAAATCCCCGGCAACGGGCCCGAAACATAGAGAACCCGGCGTTTTTCAAATTGGTGCTTAATTTATTTGTATGTAGTGTAAATACGGCCCTTAACTTATTCCATCTTAATTTATTCGTGTACAAATTGTAAACTATTGACAGTATTTATTTACTATATTAGGATCGACATTCGGTGAATTTAATTTAACGGTTTGGCAGGGTCTTTCCAAATGTCAATGTTTTAGTGTTTTCGTTTTTAAGGTTTTGATCTTATCAGACTTATCTGAGACTTAATTAGTTTTTTTCTTTTTTATATCAGTTCATAATCGAGGGTAAAGACTATCTCGTCACCACGTTGGACGATAATACGAACGTAGGAGTCATGGTGACAACAATGTGATGTTTACCCTCACAAGACTGTGCTGGCATGATTACTAGCATTTTTAATTTTAGTAAATGATTACTTCTCTTAAATAATATTATAAACTAGGGTAAATGTTCCTGTAAGGCGGAACGATACACATCAATTTGAAAGTTAAAAGTTTTATTTGATGTTTATCGAACGCGATTTTTAAAAGTATTACTTACAGAGCGTGAAGAGTCTCATGATTTTAAGTTATCAAACCCAGATATTTTAAGTCCAGTCCGCTTCAAAACGACTGATTATGCAGACTTTTTTGGTTTGGTATCAGATTTTTGTTTTAATTTTTTTTTTTTTTTAACTTTCACATCAATACTCAGGTAGGTTTATAGAGTAATTTCAAGCACAATATCTGCAAGTAAATCTTCGAAACTTCATCTGGCTCTTCTTTTAGTTCTTTTGTACTTTTGAAAATATTTTGCAATTTTACGGTCTCTAGTTGTTTACATGAGATATTGAGTCCGTCGGTCTAAAATTATCAGTAAGTCCTGGCCGTAATTTAACCATAGTTTCGGCCAGTAATGATATATACCCGGTAAAAATCCGGAATTGTCTAAGATGTACAATTTTATACACACATACCATTTTTCAATTTTTTATCCGTAACACTTAATCTAATCTTTTAAAGCCGTCTTAAAGTTTCGGCGTTTATTGACGTGACAGCGGGCTATGTGGCTGTTAAAAAGAGCGAAATCACAAAATGTCTGTATTTAGGTAAATCAGTTAGGTACATGATGAGTGTCGTGTAATTCAAGGTTAATTCCTTGGAAAAAAAGACATCTTCCGGTGCGGATCGGAGGACTTTTGTAGCTATTCAAAAATAACATATTAATGTATACAGTAAATCAAAGCAACCCTCGTGATGAGACACCTCAGATAAATGGACGGATTTCTGCCAAACGAACTACGTGCATTAAGACATGAGCCCTGAGACCCGTAAGAATATACGCATAACGAGGCTCACGTCATAATGTACATAGTTCCGTTTGGCAGAAATACGTCCAAAAACAGCTAATTGGTGATTTCCTCCCGAATTCTAAATTCAGTAGCCTTTGAATGTTGTGCACGGCAAACTATGAATTTGTATAAGAGTTATGATGAGCAAAATACTATATTTTACCATATCACTTTTTGGAGCATCCAGCATGCCAATGCAACTTGATAGCAGCGCGACCTTATCCACGTCTGCCGATACAAGTATATGATTTCATTCAATTTTTGCTTGGCAATATAAAGCAAGTTGGCGAGTGTCTCTTATTGTCTTCAATATGTTCTTTAAGTAATATGTGTTTGTACTTGTCGAATTAAGAAGTTGAATATCAATGTTTCCTCTTTGTTTTCACGTATTTCTTGGATTATATCTTGGCACAGCTACTAACTTGAAAGAAATTTTCAGTCTTAAATTAAATGAAAAATGTTTTTAAAAAAATACTAAAAGTCGAACAAAATAATTTAATATTGCTTGTATTCAGTGCCAACACGTAATAGAGTGTATAATAATAAGTAAGGCTTCTCTATGTCCATGCCATATTCAGTAAGTGTAAACAAGAAATTGCCACCACTCTTGCCAGTACTTAAAGACTGTTTCGATGGTGCATGTGAAAAACATGCTCAGCGCACTGCACATACCGAATTCCCAACACATTTTTTTTTTTTTTGCGATGCACTGAAACTGTTTTCAATTCGTAAACTATTGCTTATTTTCTATTAATCATCCCAAATTTTCATACAGAAATATACATCAGATTTTTTAAAGGAGATCAATAATAATAGTATGATAAATCATAATAAAAGCAAGAATTGTTTGATACGACTTAAGTATATCTTCCTAGTTTTGCCATCGATTCAGTTTTAAAGTAAAGGTATACCGAAATATGTGAATACCCTTCTCTTTTTCTTTCAGTGACTTTTTCTCATTTTTTACAAAATAATGTTTTTTTAGGATTCAATTTTATTTTAAGTTGGACTGACACATATATTGTTATGTTGTTTCTAAATTATTTTCATGACATTACTATAATGTCATTCTCTTATCGTCATTAAATTATAAGCATTAGAATATTTTCATCAACAATTTGAATCAATCTGGTCTGAGATGAAATACGCAATTCAAAGCACTTTCATTTACGTTAAAAGACGCGCTCGATCTGCTACGGCTCCATCTAGCTAAAAAATATAGATACATGGTTTTTCTAAAAGAAAAAAAAATCTGATACATTTTTTCACTTCAGTTACGGGCAATTATTCAGGGCATTACTGACAACGAATCTTAAATGTCAAAATATTTTTGTTACTACCTAGGTTAAGTTCAAATTACGGTGATGGTATCTACTAACCTAGGTTCACCCCCTTAACAAGTTTTTTTCTTCCTTTTTATTTCGTTTCTCCTAATATTTACATGTCCATTTTAACGTTAAAGAGAATTGTATGTGCTCAATTTTGAAAATTGTAAATTGTGCCTCTATGACTGCAGGGCTGATCTACTTTCTTTCAACAGACGAAAGATAAAAAGTAAGAAAAATGTAAAGCAGAAAACATTTCTTATAGTAAGTGCGGAGGTGCTTTAAAATTCCTCATTCGCCAAAGTGTGCTTGCAATATTACAGACATTTTTCGACTTTATCGATCAAAATGTGCATCACCTCTATTCCCCAGCGAGGGAGCTTGCGTTCTAAAACTATTTCTTTTTGCCTGATGATTCTGATAACATTTAACAATATCCAACCCGAATATTTTTAGTTATTGTAAATAAAAACATTAGTACATTCATAAGAGTGTATTCTTGTACATGTGTCGTTAGAAATGCTCTTCTAACGTCTTGGCTGTGAATGACTTAGTATTAAGTATGATCTGCAATTGAAGTTTCTGCTAAATATGTTGGTGTGATGTTTGTGAAACACAATAGTAGTAAGTAGTTAAATCAAAATAATGTACATGAGAGCAGATTCAATTAACTTAATGTCCTGATAATTATCGATTATTTCGATTAGTTAATTTTGAAAATAAAATCCGTCAGTTTTTGTCTCTGAAACAGTCAATGATAGTAACTAATGATGTTTTAACAATGAAGGTAATCAAAATCACGTCTAGTACTTATCTTTTTTTAATATTATTGATTTTAATTTTTTCTTAACTGAATTCAGCATGTAATCAAAACATTGAAAAGGTAATCAAAAATCATTCGATCTTCGCTAATTAAAATTCCGGGATCGATCTGTTGAGCTACATTCACAATTGGGAACTGCTACTTTGGGCTCATTCATAAAGCACCTGAGTACATGAGGATACTTATAGTACACATGTTTTTTTCTTTAATGAACCAGATATAGTGGTTCCTTTTTGTATAATGCAGCTCAGTTGTGATTCCAAATTGAGTCATTGGAACCTCTAGTCTATTATTATGCGATGTAATTTCTGGTATCCAGTATTGAAGAAAAAATAATCATATCTTTTTTTAATTTTTACATTGTCAATCTGACTCAAACTTACAAGAACGCTGTTACAGCAGAATGATTACAGACATATATTCTGAAAGATCGAAGTTTTCATAATTTCATCTACGTTGTCTTCTCAGGCCTGTCAATTAGACTGAGCAATACCCCAATTTCACTGAAGAAACGCATGTGCCGCCTAATGCAGCTATAAATTTTCTTTGATATTTTCTACTGAACTCTTTTTTGCACGGAGATAGCTAACAACGAAAAATAAAAATCATTTAAGATTCTGCAATACTGAATTAATGCTCTGCTAAAAGCAAATAATTCCTTTTACATGTCAATGATTTAGTTATTTCTCTACTATAATATCATATGATCAGAACTAAATTACTGCATATATCTCTGACGGCCCAATCGAAGGCGAGATTTGACAACAATGCCTCCTGGGTTACTGTTTCCTACACCTAGACAAGAAGGATGAAAATTAAACAGCTACGACTATTTTTATACGTATAACGAATTTCTATTTATTGTGTAAATATCTATTTTTATACCTTTTGTACAGAAATTTTCCTATTGCTGTAAGTTAATGCATGTGCAAAGCCAAAGATAAAATGTTGTAATGTTAATAATAAATTGAAAAAAACATTATTCCTAACATATATGTTGAATTTTTTGCAAACCCGGCAGACAATGCACTCGGAAGTCTTGAAAAGGAAGAAGAAAGAAAGTCTGAGGTTAATATCTTAATTTCGCCTTCGGAAAAAATTCAAAAACCGTCGCAACCTAGCACGATACTTTTTAACACAGAAATTTCAAAATGCTCGTAATTTGCAAATAAAGAACCACCAAGCCTAAAATTAGTGACCTTTCAGTCATTTCTATTCTTCTTCCTCTTCCACACACTCGTACTCCATAAGGAGCAGAATTCAAGGAATGCAAACCCGCGTTAACTTTGCTATTTAAGATTATTTTATTCAAAAAATATGTAAAAATTACTGTTGTAAAAGTCATGCTCTTAAAAATCTAATGAGTCAGGTAGACATCTTGAAACGAGTGAAATATTAGAAACAATCTCCATGGTATCGAGTAGTATTATATTATCTGCAAATTCTATCATACATGTTTTTATTGGTGTTTTCTTGATGTTGACTGTGTTGCAAAAATGTATGTGTTATTCGGAATATGTCAATAGAAAATAAAATAAAAAAATCTTCAATTTAAAACAAAAATCATGTTGTTCATCATTTTCTCTCAATTACAAATCGCATCGTTTTATTCTGAGTCGATATATTGCGCTCGATTCAATAATCTGAACAGCCCCTTTTAGGAGAGAAATAATTCAGTAATAAATAAAAAGCAGTCTCGAACATTGGTTATATGAGGGGGGTTGGGTCAAGATTTTTGTGGCGTCATGTCATGGGTCCATGATGATCGAGGGGCCTTGAGGACAATGCGCATAAGTGCAGTTTTTGCTTGTTCAAAAAATACGTGTTTAAAGTCTCAAAGTTGGATGGAGCGTAGTGGCGGATATAAAGTTCAAACTTGCATGCTTAAGAATTTGATTTTAAAGTATAATTTTCCACAGAATATACAAGACTTGCGTTTTGGTAAAAAGCATTGATATCTCATTTGTTCCAAAAACTGCACTTATGCGAAAAAAAAAAAATTCACAGAAAATTAAAGTTGCCTAGCTAAAACATGGTGATTCTTGAATTTGACGCCAAGAATTTTTTTTATCTTGATTCAAGTTTAATTTTTCTTGAAACGAAAAAAATACTGTGACTAAAAGCAACAAAAAATGAGCTTAAGTTAATAGCAGCTAAGTTCTTGATGTGAGAAAAAATATTTATTGGTGGCCAATTTAAGATTCCTCTCTTTTCAATGTTGTCCTCCAAGCCCCTCAATTTGTCTTAACCTCTTAAAACAATCAGTGGCATGCAGACCAAGCAACCATGCATCTCATCCTGAGACCTGGCAAACTTCCCGAGACAATATAATCTTTTTAAAGGAAACTGATCGTTGACATAGCACAGAGTTTCGTGTGACTTTTCTTCCTATTTAGAAGAGCTTTCTCTGTTAATTTTGAATATAAATATCTCAAACTCGTGTGGAAGATAAACCAATGATGTACATTTTGAAGTCAGTATTCGACGAGGTGCGTGTTTTTGTAGTTTCGCACCAATGATACGAAGCAAATTACAAAATTATTTATAAAAGGTCCGTGGATTATGTTACTGTGTTGCGGAAGGAGGTCACACAGGCATTCAAATGTTACCAGATTTCTCCCAATTAAATAGTTATTTTTAAGGAAATGGATACACATTTTTTCTCGAGGTTTGTGTTCAAGGAGAAATGGGGGTGATTCATAATGTCATCGAGTAATTTGGTGTTTTATCGGAAGAAAGTTGGCAACGTTTTCTCAGCAGGGCAGTGCTCGCGATGATCATTTTCCATATATCAGCGTCGCACAGTGGAGGAGGGTGGACATGATGTAGAAATCTTAAAACTTATATCCGCATCCATTTTAAACGTAGAGGTCTCAAGGTTGTTTCCGCCTGAAAGTTCCTTCATGAACCATAACGCATAAATGAACGTCAAAATTTGTACTTTTAGTTAAAAACGCCATGTTAGCGCGACCTCTCCTGCACGCTCGTTCGAGTGGCGTGGCGTGAATAGTCGATTAACGATATTTCCCCATTTGAATCTATGGTAAAAAATCGATTATTAAGGTTTTTGTTGCGAACACCCTGTTAATCGATCCTTTCCAATATGTGTAAATGGCAGATCAATCGATATATCGCAAAGCACGTCATGCCACTGGCTCGTTCCACTGTGTGCCGCGATGTCCTAGCATATCCCCCGGTCATTATTCCAGTGCACTTTCATTTTCATTTTCATCGTAGTTTTTGTTTCGTTTTTTTGCCCGCGCGGAGGCTTATCTTAGATTGAAGGAGTCAACTGGTCCAGGTTTGAGCAAAGGGAATTCAAGGTGGACAGTGGTCTATAGAGTTTTGAATAGCAAATGCGACCACACAAATAGAAACGTGTCATTCGTCGGTGAGTGGCGAGTCGTAATGAGCCATTTCGCTTCGTAGTTGCCAGATCATTGAAGGAGGCAGTGGCGTGGCGTAAATGATCGATTTTCGATATTTCCCCATTTGAATCCGTGGTAAAGAGTCGATTATTAAGGTGTCCACTGCGAACACCCTGTTAATCGATCCTTTTTCGTAGGTTCAAATGACAGATCAATCGATACATCGCAAAGCACGCCACGCCACTGGAAGGAGGAGAACGGCATACAAGGACCGAGGATATGATGAAGATATTAAAGGATCAATAATAGTTGACGTTAAACTCAACACTGGAAACAAGCGAATATGGACAGATCGAACAAATGTTGATAAATTATGATTTTAGTTTGATTTTTTGGCCAAAAAAAAAACTGATTACTTACGCCTAGAGACATTTTTAGCTGTTATGACCACCAAAATAAAACTGAAAGTATGCAAACCCGAAAAATTGCATTCGATTAGTCGAATTGAACTTGAAAACTTCCAATTGGGAGAAGGGGCGCAAAATATTCATCTGCGCGATGTACCAGTAGCGAAAGCCTAGTTTTGAGTTCTGTAAACGAAGGTCCCCTTTCCTGTGGACAGTCGCGTTGGACTGATTTAGTGACTAAATCATTCGATGTTCGATATATCTGACAGTTCCGCGCAGAGCAAATGAACTGTTATCGTTTTACCACGCTTTTGAGAGCGGCACAATGTAACGGCCATCTATGAAATGTCGTAGCCACAGATCAGTCTATAAAGCTGCAAATTACTGCGAATTTACTAAAATTAAACTAAATTTTATACGATTTTGCAAAGTCTCCTAAATTTTTTCGAGAAACCGAAAAGCCAATATTGCGTTTCCCTCCTCAGCACGCAGCGCAGCACTCCGCCCTACTTTCGATGGAGATAGCATGGGAGAGGGGGGAGAGGGGGGAATTAAGGAAAGAAGTGCCTGATGAGGTGCACCGCGGCGTGGGGTAAAAGAGGATACCATCTGCGGCACACGATAATGACTGGCATTCCTCGTTGGGCGAGAGGGATCGATTCTTCCCCGATTGCTCATCTATACGGCGCGGAGTGAGGCACATTATTGCCGGCGACTTTACTGAATGAAAATGGGCGGGGGATCCTGCGACTGAGGTGCAATTGCGATCACTTGCATACCGGTGAGGTAAATCAAGTTTCGCCGGGACACCGAGCATCCGTGCTGCGTGCCGAGTGGCGCCACAATAGAAGATCCGCGGCAGTGCCGTGTCATACTCTGCGATGAATCGATCGATCTGCCATCTAAACCTAGGGAAAAGGATCGATTATCAGGGTCCTCGCAACGAAGACCTCGATGATCGATTATTTTCAATAGGTTTAAATGGCAAATTATCGATTATTCGATGTCGATTATTCACGCCTCGCTCCTGAGGGCTCATGGATTCCCTAATCTTGATCCAGATCAGGGACCCTCGAGGACGCGGGTAGCTGCGAAAATGCCCGGACTCAGGCATCAGATTAAAGCATTCTGCAGTCGTCGGTGTTCCACGTTGATAGAAAAGAATACTCTTCACCTTGTTGCCACTTACCAACACGTGCTAGATTGAATGGGCCTATAGTTCTGTTGCATGCAAAAGGTACAGATGAGAGGAAATATCCTAAAAATGTGGTCCGAACACCGTAAGGGCGATAGAGAAGTGCTGTCCTGGACGGAACTGGAAGCCAAAAAAATCAAAAACGTTCAATAATAGTGATAAAATAAGCTCTTGTCCCCCGAAACCTTGCGCTGAAAATCATTAGAGCTCATTATGTGACTCTTGTAATAGTCTTTGGATCAGGGCCGGATTAAGGGTGTGGCCACTTGGGCCGCGGCCCATGACGGCAAATCAAGGGGGCGGCATATTTTGCAATTTTTTTCATAAAAAATCGAATTTTAAAAAAAAAATTACAAACGAGAAAAGGCGACAAAATCTCTCATTTCCTGAGAGAGTAGTGATTTCTAATTTTGTCGTCTTTTAGTGATACCTAGAAGAGACAGCACCTTTCATTAATCGAGTTAAGAGAGAAACCAAACACGCAATTTGGCATGGAACTTAGAGAGAAATGATGACGCGGACTTGAGATGAAAAGGAGAAGCCCTCGGCCCGGCGGTCGGCATGTAACACATATTAGCGCCTACAAGACTGCATGAATACTTCACGCATTGCATCAAACACAGTGCGGTCACTGCGATCAGCGTGAAACGCATAGCGCCTACAAGACTGCGTGAATACTTCAAGCATTGCGTCAAACACAGTGCGTTCAGCAGCGGTCGGCGTGAAACGCATAGCGCCTACAAGACTGTCGGAATACTTCACGCATTGTGCCAAACAAAGTGCAGTCTGCGCGGCGGCGGAAGTTAAAATCATTAAACTACATTTATGTTTGTTTTTTCATAATTTGTTCGTTCATTTCTTATGAATGGAAGGCCTTGTCCACACAGAGATAGGTTTACGGAACTTAACTTTTGCTAGTAGTGTTAACAGGGCTTTCCCAAAAAATATGTCCAACACGAGTAAACAAGTCTTATGCACCCATCCCCCGCTGGCACGTTTACTTGATGGTTTTTACTGGTATTCAAAACGAATGAGAAGGGGCGGCAAGTAGGTAAATCCGGCCCTGCTTTGGATGGAAAAATTCTGAAAACTCATTCCACGCGATAACCGGACCACGTTTAGCAGAAAGGAACCAAGCCACATCAGCTATTGCCAAATTTAACAGGGCGATTCAATTTTTTACAAGAGAACGTTTGTGTGTCTCATGAAAATTTTGAGGAATTTGCTTCGTACAGTGCAGAAAATTCTCTGATATTTGCACAAAAATCGGCACAATCGTTTTCATTTTAAAAAAATGAAACTGCCCAATTCAATTTGGCATTCGCTGATGGGGCTTGATTCGCTTCTGCTTACGCGGTCCAACTATGACTGCTGGAACCACACTTCTGGCTGGCGCCAAAATCAGCCAGAAATGAAGTTGAAATTACAATTATCAAAAAATCTTACTGAAAATGAAGTTCTCCCGAGCGACTATATATCGTCACCTTCCAGGCAAAGTATCACAAACGCCATGCGACGTTTAAAAATTTCCGCCGCCATTATATTTTTTTACAGAGAAATTGTTCAACGAAGCTGTCCGAAAATTACACCGAA